GAACTGCTGAACTACCGACCTTCCACAGCCTGCAGTTCAGCGTCTTAACCACTTGAGCCACCACAGCTCCTGAATGTAAATGAGCAAGCCTATAATAATGTGAATACCAAGCTCAGAAGCCAGGCAGGAGGGGAAGTAACGCCCACTCTTCTCTGTTTCTCTTTCAGTTTTGTTATAGCCAACCCACCTTACGAATTCGAACTTGTGCCGACGGATTTGATCTTCTGTCTGATGCAGTTCGACCACAATGCTGGCCAGTCCCGGGCCAGCCTCTCCCACTCGTCCCATTCTTCCTACGCTACTCTTCTCTGTTTCTCTTTCAGTTTTGTTATAGCCAACCCACCTTACGAATTCGAACTTGTGCCGACGGATTTGATCTTCTGTCTGATGCAGTTCGACCACAATGCTGGCCAGTCCCGGGCCAGCCTCTCCCACTCGTCCCATTCTTCCTACGCTTCCAGCAAGAAGAGCGCGTCGATCCACTCCATCCCCTCCACCACAAACCGACAGAACCGTGCAAAGACCAGGGAATCTCGGGAAAAGCAGAAGTACGTGCAGGAAGATAGACTTTGATACATGTACCCACCTCCCACCGTGTGTGCAGCTGTATCCACCACCCGTACCCTCCCGATTGGTGTGTCCAACAGTAGTTCTCCCCGTTCTCCCCTCCACCCGCCCCGCCTTCCACCCCCATGGAACTCCCATTTTTATACACATATTTTGCATATGTATAACAGTGTGCATGTGATTGTCATTTTTATTTCAATACCATAAAACCCTTAAAAACAACAGCAACAAAGCAGACGGACCAAAAAAAAAAGTTATTTATGGTGCAGAACAGGTGGGGAACAGCTAAGAGCAGATGTGACTCAACACTGCCGTAACGAACTACCTTGTATATCAGTGGTCAGAGAATGTGCAGCATGAATATTATCAGTTTGTGGTGGTGTCAGTTTAGAGGAAGACAGTTATGGAGCACAAGGGTGTTGTTGTTAAAGGGATGCAAACGTTAACATTTGCACAGATAAAGTTCAGGGTCCCACTCCCCATGGGCCAGCTTTCTAAGCATCAGGGAGGCTTTTCACACCTGGGTCAAAAACAACACAAATCTTGAACTTTCTGTATACGAAGGTCATAGAATCATAGAGTTGGAAGGGACCTCCAAGGTCATCTTGTCCAACCCCCTGCACAATGCAGGAAATTCACAAATACCTCCCTCTCCAATATGTCGACAGACTCTTTTTTTAAATTAAAAAAACCCTTATTTTTAATTTTTTAAATTTTTTTATTACATTAAATTTAATAATAACTTTTTTAATTAAAAAAAGCCCCAACCAAATTATTTCCTAGTGGAATGGGTGCCTTCTCTGCTTTAATGCTAAAATACAAAAATATGTCCAGGAATGGAGTTCTTTTTTTTTTTTGGAAGGGTCTAATTGCATATTAAATTCTTGTCTACCGATATTGCCACACGAATAACTATATTCTCTTCTCATTTCTGACATTTGAGATGAAAAGCCATGTGTATCATAAATATTGAATGCAACTCATTAGAATCTTCTTTCCTGAGACTTTATATCTATTAAAAGGTGAATTAGTCACCTTGTGTACGGAACAAATGGGGTACAATCTCTCCATGTGCGGCAGAGGATCGTTCTCACAATGTTCGGGGGGGGGGGAGCAAGTATTTTTCCATGTTTAAGTATCAGTCCCAAGAGGACTTTTTCTTCCCCTCTGAAAGCTTAATTTTGTGACATTAAAACCTCCAGAAAGTACTTCTTGTATCTTTCAGAAAAGCGAGGCTCATATTTAAGCTGACGGGTTTACTGAAAGTGCACAGCGATAGAGTTCCTTGCTTAACATCCGCTGGCATTAATCGAATCGAACCTGCTCACTTCACAAATTCCAAGGAAAGGATTTCCTGGTATTAGAAAGTAGCACAGCAGCCTCAGATGGGCTGCCTTGGAACTGTTTGGCCCATGGGTCTCTCAAACCAATGCCTGGGCGCAACTCACTTGCGGACCAAAAGGAGGAACAGATTCAGGAAGATAGATTCATGGAGGACAGGTCCGTCAGTGCCTACTAGCCGCGGTGACTAAAGGGAACTTCTAGATTCAGATGCAGTAAACCCCTGAATCTCAGTGCCAGGAGGCAAAGTCAGGGGAAGGCCTCAATCTCTATACCCTGTTTGGCCCGCCATAGTACTTGGTTGGGTTCTACTGGTAGCAGGAGCTTCTTTGCATATTAGGCCACACACCCCTAGTGTAGCCAATCCTCCAAGAGCTTACAGTAGCCCCAGTAAGAAGAGCTCTGTAAGCTCTTGGAGGATTGGCTACACTGGGGGGGGGTGGCCTAATATGCAAAGGAGCTCCTGCTACCAGTAGAGCCCAGGTCCACTGTATGAGAAAAGATGCTGGACTAGATGGACCCCTGGTCTGATCCAGCAAGGCTCTCCTTATATTCTTATGAACACAGTCCCAGAACACTTTGCCTCCCAGTATCCTTAGCTGTCCAGCTCACCAGGACGGAGAGATAAGACCGTGTTTTCTGGACACTGTCAATGCTTCGTGCCTGCCAACTCTAGTGCAGGATTCTACATCAGGAAAGCCTGGCACTTCCTTCCGGGGGGGGCACTCTACCCATATATCGGTGAGAGAGAGTGAATCGGTGCCATGTGGAGTCTCCCCCACGAATGGAGCGGTGGGAACAACCACCAAGAATGTGGCTTCCTTTGGTTAATGCATGCTTCTGCCTCCCCCCCCCCCTTGCTGTATGCCTACAGCTTGGGCCTCACTGCATCGAAGGCAGAGGTGGGATTTCTGGCTTGACATGGTGCCACTCTGCCCTGATTCACTCTGCCTCTCTGCCCTGATCAGTAACATGTCCTCACAGTAAACTCATTTACTTGCAAGGAAACCCTATTTATTAGTTAATTAAAAATAGGTGCACTTAATCACGTAGTTAATGATGTTGCAGAGAATTAAGCGTAGCTTGAAGTCACGCAGTCGGAGCCGAACACCCATAGAAAATGCTGAGCTTCCCAGCCTGCCTGGATGGTGCCTTGAATTCTTGCACAGCCTTTTTTATCCTCCCTCAAAACAGCACTATTCCTTGCCTCCTCCTCCTCCTCCCTGTGTCCTGGGCCTTCATTTTCACTACGTAGCTAGCTATTTACCGAGCATATATGAGCTGTACGTTTGAGACAGTATACTGGGGACAGGGTAGTCGCTAAGCAAGATAGGTGGTTCCGAGTATAAGAAAGTGGTTTTTATGGTCAGTGTCGCGTTTCCCGTCCACCCTTTCCCCCCCCCCC